GAGGTGGGTTTGAATTTGACAGAATGTTTCCATGTAACAAAAAAAGATTATTAAACTGCCCTGAGTTAACTGGGCCCTGAGTTAGAGACCGTTTTGTGACAGGTTTACTTATATACACCTTTGCAGGGAGGAAGCAGAGTAGAATTGAACCATTTTTTTTCTACCAGACAGGAAGAAAGACCACCCTCTGAGCAGAGGGCGTCTTATTGGGAGTTGGATGTGGAGTTACCCTGCCATCCTTGATAGGATGGATCATCTGGAAATGTTATAGTTGTTTATTGTGAGATATATGGCTTAAGCGTGTAATAAAACCTTTGATAAACTCTTGTCCACTAACTTCTTTATGTAACAGGTTGTTGCCTTAGGGGTGCGTGTGCTTGCCAGAGAGAGAGAGACCAAGACAGTAAAAGGGAAAGTGAGAAATTCCCCACAGGGGGAATCGCCAAGCTGCAATCTCTTTTTCTCCATTCTCTTGGGCACTCACTCACATGTGCCTGGCTTGACTTTCAAGCCACCAGGTCTAGGATTCAAACTGTAGTCAGCCATGTGGGAGTACAGCGATGTAACTGCTACACCATCTATTGGCCCCGTCAACTAATCTTTTACATGAATGAAATGTCGGAAGGAACCTAGAGAGATGCTGATCCCATTCCGCAGGCCCTGTGGTACCAGGAAAGCCACTTAGGGGTGTGCATGCAGCCGATTCTGGCAGTACCCAGGTCGGAGGGCAGCCAAGTTTGCTGATTACCTGCAGATGGCAGGTACTTGAACTACTTTGTGATATGTATTATTTCTCTTCATCCTTATCACAAATCATGTGAGCACCACTTTCCTTTAAAAATGAGGAAACGGGAACCAGCAGTTAGCGTAATGTCTATGTCACTGGACTCCCACGTACTTGACTGCGGTTCGCGTCCCAGACCAGTGGCTTAAAACTCACGCCGGGCACATGTGCGTGCGTGCCCAAGATCCCAAGAGGAGAATGGAGGAGAAGGGATTGTGGCGTGACCATCCCCCCTGGGGGGTGATTTCTCGCTTACTGTCTCTATGTCTCTCTCTGTCTGGCGAGCACATGAGCCCTATAGTGAAAATCTCTCCAAAAAAAAAAAAGTAAAAATGAGGAAAGGATGGGACCAGCAGTTACATCACTGGACTCCCATATAGTCGACCAGGTTCAAGTCCTGGACCCAGTGACTTAAAACTCATGCCAAGTACATGTGCATGTATGTCCATGATCCCAAGAGGAGAATGGAGGAGAAGGGATTGTGGCATGGCCATCCCCCCTGAGGGTGATTTCTTGCTTTCTGTCTCTTTCAGTCTCTCCAGCAAGTGCATGCACCCTATAACAAAACTTTCTCAAAAAAAAAAAAAAAGAGGAAAGGAAGAGCCAGTCAGTTGACGTGGAGGTTAAAGTGGCAGGATCTCACATAGCCAATTGTACAGTTCAATTCCTAGACCTGGCGGCCTGAAAAATATACTCGGCACATCTGTGTGTGTGCCCAAAATCCCAAGAAGAGAATGGAGGAGAAGGGATTGTTGTGTGGTTATCCTGCGTGGAGGGTGCTTTCTGACTTTCCCTCCCTCTATCTCTCTTTTTCTACCTCTCTGTCTCCAACAAGCTCATGCACCCTACAGTAAGTTTTAAATGGATGAATGAGTCAATGGGAAAAAATGAGGAAAGGGAGATTTTGAGAAACTAAATAACTTACTCAAAGTCACATGTAGGCTTTATCCTACATATACTTGATATCAAATTCCTGGTTTTGAATTCTTAAATTTTGAAATTTTATTTTTCACTAAGGCTGCTTTTGATAATTAAAATATATTTTCTTTTATCAATTTAGGAGATAAAAATAAGAGCTTCAGAATTCCAAAAATTGCAGTGTTTTTATTTTTTAAACTATGCAAGCGGTGAAACAAGTAATTGCATGTCCTTTTATTAATCTTAGCCATAAGCTTATTTTTCTACTTTTGACAGGCATTTCCCAGCTCACATACAGATACCACTTCTTCCTGGGAGCCTTCAGCCACCTTTTTGGGTACGGTCAGGAGCTATGGATGTCCCCATGGTCTTTCGTAGTTGCTTTAGCATTTTACTTCTTTCCTCCTGTGTTAGAATGAACTGTTTGATCTTATTTTTCTTTATAAATTTTTTTTTTAAATAACTGCTTTATTGAGATACTTCACATCCACTATAATTTGCTCTCTTAAAGTGTACAATTCAGTATTTTTCAGTTTTCAGATGAATATAACCATCATTACAATCCATTTTAGAACATTTTCCTCATCCCAAAGAGAACCCATTAGCGGTCTTTCTCCACTTTTCCCTATCTACCCTAAACCCTATTCTGGAAATAATGTTTTGTCTCTGTAAGACTGTATTGCCTCTCCCTATTTTGGACATTTTATATAAATGGAATTGTTTATGTGTTCACTGAGTTTAATGTTTTCATAGTTCATCCACTTTGTAGCCTGTGTCAATACCTCACTGACTTTGTTGTTGTTGTTGTTATAGGGCTTGTGCACTCAGCAGAGAGAGAGAGACAGAGAGAGGGAAAGTGGGAAATCACTTCCCAGAAGGATGGCCATTCTGCAGTCCCTTCTCCTTCATTCTTCTCTCAGGATTTTGGGCACTCCAGGTTAGGACTTGAACTGTGCGGTTGGCTATGTGGGATCAAGTGTCTTAACCTCCACACAACCTGCTGGTCCACCTTTTTTTCTTTTCTTTTTTTTTAATTGCTGGAGGGCATATGCACTCTCCCCTCCAGGAAGGTACAGAAAAGAAACAGGGAGATAGAGAAAGCTCCCTCCAATGGGGCATGGCCTTGCTGCAATACCTTCTCCTCCATTTCTCTATCCTGTTGGGATTTGGGGTATGCATGAACATGCACCCAGCCAGCATATTTTTCAAGCACCTGGGTCAGGATTCGAACCATAGTGGGCCACATGGGATCTGGTTCCATAACCACTAGGCTACAGGGCTGACCTAATGCATCATTATTTTCATGACGGGATAATATTTTATTGTGTGAGTGGACCACATTTTGTTTAATATTCATTCACTGATGGACATTGGGTGGTTTTTACATTTGACTCTTAGACATAATGCTACTATGGAAATTAGTGCACAGATTTCAGTGAACATGTGTTTTTTTCTCTTGGGTATATATGCCTAGGAGTGGAATTGTTGGGCCATGGGTTGCTAGGACTTTGTTCTACACAGGGTCTTGCTGTCATGATCTCGTCTTAGATCATAGCTGGGACTACAGGCGCAAACCACCATGCTTGTCTCTTTTATCAGCAAGGTCTTGCTAGGCCCAGGCCAGTCTCAAGCTCATGATCTTCTGTTTCATCTTCCTTCAGTCACTGGGATTACAGGTGTGCACTGCTGTACCTGGCCTTCAGGGTGCACCAGAACCCTATCCAGGCCTCCTCTGTGGTCCCAGCCAACAGAGCACAACCTCTTAGCAGGGCACAACTGTGGTTGGGCCAATTTTGACATTTTGTAGAATGACTAGACTACTTTCCAAAAGCAGCTGCAACAGTTTACACCCCATCAGGGTGTGTGAGGCCTCCTAATTTCCCCAACTCCTTTTCAACACTTGTTACTGTGCTTTTTATTCCAATTCTTCTAGTTAGAAGTAGGTTAGAAATAGTCTTACCTTTCTTATCTTCTACAACACCCACAGTATTTTCCACACATTAGCTCATAATAAATGTTTGAATTTATAATTCTTGTTTTTAAAACTTGCAAGGAAATGGGTGGTGGGCCTTAATTTTTTTTTTTTTAAACCTCTGTTGAAAGTGTGCTCTGGGACCAGCAGGTGGCTTGGTGGATAGAATGCTGGACTCCCACATGGCTGACCACAGTACAAGTTCCGGACCTGCCAGCTCGCTCGCTCGCTCTCTCTCTCTCTCTCTCTTTCATGAGTGTACATGCCCTGTAGCAAATTTTAAAATAATAATAATAATGAATAAAATTAATTCTTAAAAAAAAAGGATACTCAAAATACTTCTGTCCGTCTCTCTGGATGTTACTCTTACCTTTCCTCTCAATCTTCCAGCATCATCATTGCACTTGCGTAGTGTGTCTCCCGAGCTTTTGCTGCTGAGCCCTGTACACCAGCTGGCGCAAGGACTGTCGAGTAAATGAACGAGTGCCCTTTTGCCATGTTCATTTAGAGTTGGCAAGCTTGTCCCTGGGGACAGGTGGTGGTTGTTCCGGTACTAAAAATGACTTATTTAAATATTTAAAGAGCATTAGATGCTTCATTTTAAACTGGCATTTCCAGAAAAATACTCACAAACTTGAAAACTACCTATAATAGGTAGTTTTACTTGACTGGTTGTTGCACATTGTTCACATTATCATCTTTCATTTTTGGATTCCCTGTGTGAGTAGCACAATGTTAGCCTGGTTATCGAGAGTTCATCACAGCAGTTAGGTAATTTTCTTATAAAGCATACTCAAAATACTTCAGTGTGGGACCAGTCAGAGGTGTGATGGTTAAGGGGGCTGATGCTAACACGGCCAACTGCACAGGTGGATTCCCAGACCCAGACTGAATGTCTTAAAAAATATGCCATGTGCATGTGCATACATGTCTGCACGGTGCCCATCACCCTGGGGTATGACTTCTCACTTTCTCCCCTTTTTCTCTCCCTCTCCCTGCTCCCCCAGCAGGCACATATATCCTATAGCGAACTAAAAACAAACAAACAAAAACTTAAATATGATAAAGAATAAGTGGCTTTTAAGGTTTTAAAGAAGATACTATAATCTGTGGTTGAATTTTAAAGAAATTCAACTTTAGCACTGTGTAAATAAACATTGATAAGCATATATGTTTCTGATGTTTCATGCTAGGAAAAGCAGAAGTGTTTAATGATATTGATAGAACTTTATTTTGCCAACATCAACTTAACCTTATGAATAAAGCAATTATTTATCAGTAAATTTTTTTATGGAACTAACAAGAGACATTTCTCTAGTTGCACTTTCTAGAAAAACATTTATCCCAGTTAAAATGGAATGCAAATGTTGAGTTTGTAATGTCGTTGCATTGGTGTTCTGAGAGAAAAACAAAATTAGTTAGTTTCATGAATACTGTATGCCTTGAATGCTTATGTGAAAATCAAAAATATTCTATGCTCTAGTAAATCAAAAGGGATGATGTCTCAGTGATGGGATTACACCACACCAGTGTGTTTTCTAGACATTAGGTGAAAGAACATCATCTGTTTCTTAATTCAATGGCTGCTTGTTACATTAATATGCCCTCCTGGCATTCCAGCACTCCCTCCTAGTGATGGAAAGGACATGGCTTCAAGTGTCTTCATTGCTGACGCTGCTTCTTTCATCATTCTTAGACAGCCTACTCACTTTGTTGCTCAACATGATGATATTTCTATGTTTGAAAAGAGTTTAAGAAACAAAGCTTAGTTTTTGTTTTTCTAAAGATTTGTGTCGTTGAGAATGGGTTCGAATCCTATTTAGCGATGCAGTCTCCAGTGACTTCAGCTCTGCTCTTATACCAGCATGTAATTCTAGGTTACTTGGACTGATACAAGTTTCGTTTATATTGAGTATTAAGGTTTTAAGAAGTCACAAGTGTATACCTATTTAGTTATGTGCCATTCTTAAATTTCATAATAGTGAGGGTCGAAGTGCTCTTCTGTTTCTCCGTGTTCTTGGCTCTCAAGAGTACCATCAGGGTCATGGTCGGTGCTGTCATCATCCTCTTGGAATCTCCCAAAGACTTGGGTCTTCATTTGTATTGTTTGACCATTAGTGCTTCTTTGTTCACCGTAATAAATACTGTGTATATGAGGGAAGCAGAAGAAGATATATGGATTGATTGGCTCTTTTAGCTTATTTTGGTCCACACGAAGGTATGTTAGATGGTGCTGATGGAGGGGGTCAGTAGAAGGACACATCACTGTAACATTGACATCTGAAAAACACAAATGAGAAATCAATCCTACTTTATTATATCCAAAGATCTGTGTTGAATTGTGTTATATGGGACATAGTTTTATAGTAATTAAAATTGTTAGAAGTGAAATTAAGTTTAATTATTTTTATATTGATCAGACTACAAATGAAGAAAATGTAAGTATAAATGGGTTTTATATTACCAACATAAATAAGGCTTCATTGGCTTTTCTGATTATTTAAGTAATAACTTCTCAGTAGATCAACCTTGAAAAAGAAAAAAAGTAAAAACCCACTACTCAGGGTACTCATATCTATATGCGTACTCCATAGTGCTGTTTCTCTGGAGCCAAGGTGTTAGAATTTAATAGAAAGGACTATAAACCTGATAGCACACTTTTCTCTGGGGCTAATTTTGCCATTTCCTTAGCCAACTTTTTTTTTTTTTTTTGGAGAGGTTTTTGCTATAGGGCGCGTGCGCTCGCCAGACAGACAGAGAGAAACAGAAAGTGAGAAATCACCCCCAGGGGGGATGGTCACGCCGCAATTCCTTCTCCGTTCTCCTCTCGGGATCCTGGGCGCACACGTGCCCGACGTGAGTTTTAAGCCACTGGGTCCTGGAAGCGAGCCGCGGTTGACTATGTGGGAGTCCAGCGACATAGCCATTACACTAACTGCTGATTCCCTCCTTAGCCAACTTTAAAACAACCATTTTCAGCAATGTATATAGATTATTAAAATTTGTTCTTTAGAGGGTTTAAAATACCATTCTTTCTCTCCTTAAAAAATTGAATTTTACATACTTTCTATTTCATTATTCTCTAGGTATAGGTGTTCCAAATTTCTTGGAATATAGAATGCTTGCTTCAGTTTGTTGTGGCCAATGTTGAGCTCCACAAGGTTGGAAAGATTAAAAATATTAGAGGGTATGTCTTGTAGTTTGTTGTGTGACATTCTCAGAGCATGAAGTTTGGGAAGGGCATTGAAGTAACTTTTTGGTATAGAAGAAATTGAATTATTTTCTAACGACAGATACATAAGTGAAGAAGGCAGACCGGGAGGCATCGATTCTAATCTGTTATGACATAGGTTGAGCTGCATTAAGTTTTCCATTTTGGCAAGGAGATTTTCTTTAAACATAGAATCGTGAAGACGATTATAGCAGAGATCAAGCATGGTCAAGTTTATGAGCCCATCCATGGCATTGGTGTGCAGGCTGGAAATGTTATTGTAACCAAGTAGAAGTCTTTCCAAGGATTGAGGAAGAGGAAATGGAAATTCTTCTAAATTGTTATGCTCTAGGTGAAGTTGTAGTAGATTTGAAAGTTTAGCAAACACACCATAATCAATCTTTTGAGATTTAATTTTGTTGTGGCTGAGATTGATTTCTTTAAGATAGGTTGCATTGATAAACGAGTTTGCAGTCACAGCCTCAATTTCATTGAACTGAAGGTAAAGTTGCTGAATATGCACTGGAATATGGGGGATGGACTTGAGCTTGCGGTTGTCACAGTACATCGAGGACGGAAAGTTAACTGGACAGAAACACTCACTAGCACAGCCCAGAGGGTGCTGATAAGAAGGAACTCCATAGTCTACATTCTCATGAAGTTGGAATTCCGTTTGGTAATTGTCGTCTGTCTCTTGGTCATAATCTTCGTCCCATTGATAAGCTTCATATTGGCAATATACTTTTACTTCCAAAAAGAAGAAAAGGACGCATACTAGACTTAGAAAGCCCATGATCTTTTTTCTGTCCTATTGCAAGGAGAAACAGAAATACATTATGGGAAATTTCAGAATAATTCTCATATAAGCAATTCTCAAACTAAAAGCAAACAAAAACTTCAATATGATAAAGAATAAGCTGCATTTGAAGTCTTATACCTATGTCTGTATATGCAAGAATATCCAGAATGAGTGGGCAGTGCTTAAACCAAAACAAATGTCTCAGTACCACTGAGGTAGTATTTTTTAAAAAGTCACAGATTGCCTTGACCCAGAGTCAAAAGTCTGATTTCTGTACCATCTTCTAAGTAACCATCTTCTAAGAGGTTCTCAGTCTGTTTTGCCTGGTGGAGTATAGATTTGCCATTGTTCCACAATATGACTCAAATGAAGTCTGGTCCTCCAGCAGTCTACATGCTGGGTCTTCCTACCACTGGCTTCATCCCTCAGTGATGAGCTCTCCTCGAGTCTAGAGAAAGCAGTATATAGAGAGAGCTTGTGCCTAGGGGCGTCTGTCTTAGTGTTAAACCAAAATCTTCCCTACAACTTCTCCTTGCTGCTATCCTTTTCTACCCTTTGGAAGAATATGAAAAATTCCCTTTCATGTGATAACTCAAGATGTTTGGAAATAACTATAATGTTTTCTTTTACTGTTTTCTGTCCAACCCTAATTACTACCTTCAAATTTTCCTCTTGAAACAGTTTCCAGAATCCAATTATTTTCTCCAAGTCTGCTTGAGTAACTATTTCAAATCCCAAATACACAAAGTATTTACAGTCTTACAAAGTTTTAGATTCTAATAGGTTAATTTTTATATTTTTCTTCCTAGCTTTCTTTTTTCACCAATATCTTTGTATTAAGTCTTAGATCTGTATAAAGGTATTAGAAATACACTGTCCGTATTTCCCGGGAGTTTAAAGCTGAGTGGAGGGTCAGAGCCCTTCAGTGCGATGCGGAAGGTGGATTATAAGGCAGAAGGCTTCACAGACAGTTGACACTTGGTGTTCTGAAAGTTGAAGTAAGGAAGGGTGGGTGATTTTCTGGATGAGGAGCCTGACTTGAACGTTATCTCCTCTCGTCCCCTGTCTTTAGTAAAACGAGATTTGCAGCGACAGTAGCATTACCCCTGGGTTGTGTGCCTCACCTGCTTATCTCGTACTTTGCCTAGTGTCTCAGGTTTTGCCTTCTTACTCACCTGATAGTTCTTAGGATCCTGTGAGGTATGCATGTAAAAGGACTTTACAAATTGAAAACTGCTATCCAGATGGAATGAATATATAATTTAGGGAAACGTTTTTTAAATATTGATACCTCTTTCATTCCAAGACCTTTTTTCTCCTACTCTTCTCATCCAGGGTTTCATGAGAGAATGAATGACCTAATGAACTGCTATACATCATGAAATAATGTACGTCCCTTTACTGAGAATGGTACTAGCCATTCTTCATCATTGGTATAATTGAGGAAATAGTTATTTAAATAGTTTTCTCTTGCAGAACCCCACTGGAGAAAGATTGAGAAAGATCTCAACTTCTCATTTCTTTCCTTGTCAGAAATTATAAATGATAGGCTATAAATATTGTGTGTATTTGAGACTTGAAGTAGTTGTGTTGTTGTTCAGTCAGAAACTTTAGTTTTGCTATAAGGCACGTGCAGTTCAGAGAGAGAGAGAGAGAACATTCCCCTAGTGGGATAGCCACTCTGTAATCCCTTCTCCATTCTGTGCTTGGGATTCTGGGTACGCATGCACATGGTGGGTCCAAGACTCAAACTGTTAAATCAGCCATATGGGATCCAGTACCTTAACTTCATGCCATTGGCTGGCCCAGAGTCAGAAACCTTTGCTCTCCTCCATCAGTGATAACTGTCCTCCCTTCTTCCTCGTGGCTTACTCCCATGCACCCACATCATGGCCCCTGCCATTACCAGTACTGCAGCCCTTCCTGCTTCCGGTGTTGAGCATCTCACACTCTGACCACTCTCTCCACGAAGAAACTCCAATGATGATAGTTCTTGAAGTACAGTAAGACTGAAGCTATGTAGATAGATCCTGTTGTGTTCTCACTGACCCTCATCCATACCTCCTAATATCATCAGTTCCAACTTGGTCCCAGTAGTTCATGACTGTTGTCACTTGTCTGCATGTGCCCTAAACTTCCTGACCCCTTCCATCTGACAACTCTAGTTCTCCACCTGCTCTCAGTCTGACTCAGGTGGTGGAGTGTGGCTGGAAAAGGACAAGTCCGTGCCAATGGGTCTCATTCTCATACATGACCCCTGATCTCCCTACTGCACAGCTGTGTCTCCCCAGTCTGTCTCCTCCTCTCTCTCCTATGCTGTTCTTTTGTGCCTTTCTCTCACAAGCCTCCAAAGCCTCATTCCATTTTGTTCTTGGATGATGACCTCTGTTTGTTTTTAAAATCATAGGTGGGATCATATAACCATTTATTTCAATACACTTTCTTATATTTATCTCTGCCTACAAGAAAATGCCAAAATAGAATGGTTTGATCTTTAAACCATATGTGATTTTGAAGCTCATTAAGTTTTTTGTTGTTGTTAAAAAATTTAGTCTCTGCAAGTCTAAATATGTCCCCGCCGCCGCCCTTTCTTTCTCCATTAGGTTTATAGAAGATGCATTCAGCCTAGACTTTGAAGGAATACTAGGATTCTTATAGAGGAGGTTGGGAAGAAACCCAGATAGAAGGGATGAGCTGAAACATAAAAGCAGCAAAAACTGGTGTGTGGGGTAACAGTGGCTGTTTGTTGAAGGAACAAAATCAGACCATTAAAGCCAGAATCTGAATAGTCCAAGTTCTAACCTAAGTATTTTACACTCTGGGAATAGATGCCTAATGAATTAACATGTTCAAATGGTAGTTTTCATACTGCAGTGTTGAGAGAGGAAGGTTTGGCTTAGGAGGAAGTGAGATGAAGTTGTTGGCTCATCTCAAGAGGCTGTGGTCAGAGTCAGCCAGCTCCTCCTTCTTGGCTGGAAGCTCCCTACATGGGTATGCTCAGGGTGTTTATTTCCCTCCCATCATTGCTATATGAGGTGCTTTGTGTGAATGTGCTTGGTAAAGCACGACACAAATAATATTAGTTGGATTGGGTTACTTCACTTGTCTTGAATTATTTCTAGGGCTAAGGCACTAGGCTAAGTTGGTAGGCAAGTACATGACATGATGGGCCCCTCCGTAACGATCGATGGTTTACTGAAAGAGACAGCAAAGTCAACCATAATCTATGGTGGAAGGTATGGCGGAGGCAGGCAGTGTCTGCTTGACTGAGACAGGGATGTCTTGTAGATATGACTTGACCTAGACTTTGGGAGATTACAGGAATGGGTAGAGAACACCCTGTCCATTTGATTTGCTGATATTTTAGGTATTCTATAGTGGTTCATCAGGTTCATTACAGTGTAGCATATTAGCTTCAGAAAGTACCCATCATACTTCATTTCGGCCTCACTATAGCCAAGCCTAATTCTGTTCTATAATGCTGTGTTCCCAAAGGATGCAGTAGAAGCTGAGTGACAGGCGTGTGTCTGTGCAGGGCCAGGCATACAAGGGCCTGGGTCTGAAGGTTGCATGGCCCAACCTTGGAAACACCATTGGTCATGGAAATGCAGTCTGAATTTTATCCTCTGCTACGAACATTGGCCGTCATCAGTTAGCAGCATTACAGTGCAGAATTAAGAGTTTTGGTCAACAATGATGAGAAATTATTGGAAAAAAGAGACCTGGTTGATACTGTTGTTACTGCACTGAATTGCATTTCATTGACTTAGAATCAAGACTTCATGCTTGGACCTCTCTGCAATAAAGAGATTCTTGAAGTTGTTTGCTTTTGGTCTCTGTGGGCACCTGAGAAGAAAGGTTTTTTTCCCTTTTACACCTGAACCTGAAGCATTCTCATCCTCCTCCGCCTGGTGTCTGTTCCCACCCACATGCCCACTCCTTTCAGCTCCTCTTCTTTCCCCATGATCATTTTCCCTGTTACAGGGATCTACTATTTTATACATATTTTTCATTCTTAGTCATTTTTTAAGCATTTGGTAAACTTAGTGTTCTGTTATCTTTTCCCCCCAAGTTTGCTATAGGTAGTGTGGGCTTGCCAGATAGAAAGTCAAAGAGAGAGAGAGGGAAAGTGAGAAATTGCCCATAATGGGGAACAGCCATTATGGGAAGGACTGCAACCCCTTCTCCTTTATTATCCTCTCAGGATTTGGGGCACACTCACACACGCGCCTGTCCAGTGTGTCTATATGCTGCCGAGTCCAGGACTCAAACTACAGTCAGCCATGTGGGGTCCAGCTACCTTAGCCACCACGTCACTGGCTGGCCCTGTTACTGCTTTTCATGATCTACACTCCCTGTTCCCTACAGGACAGCTCACATCCAAGTAGTTTAACTCACTGTTAATCATCTCGCTTCCTGACTCTTAATTTTCAAAAACATGGAATACAGTGGTCAGAGATTTGTTAATGTGTGCTTCAGTTAATAAGTTATGGTTTCTATCCCATTAACAGTGCTTATCTCTACTAATGTCGATTGTTTCTGGTCATTGATTCCTCTGTGGTGGTATCTGTAAATGAACACAGTCACAGAGAACTTGGCGATTGGCTCTTCTTTTGAATATTTCTCCAGCACAATATACTCTATTCCCCACTTTCCTATTACATTGTCTAGTAGAAAAATGGCAAATGTGAAAAACAAAAGCGAAGTAAAATATGTATTACCAGTTTTTAAAAATTATTAGAGCGCATTCTTCACAGTACAGCAGTAAAGTTAAATGCAATAACATCTCTCTTCTGTAGTGCTTTTACTCATGCATTCAAGACAGTTCTAACTGAAATTATTAATAAAAATGAGATCTAAGTTACTGTGCCCTGGAAAGTTTAAAGTAAAAGCTTCATAGCATTTTATTATCTTAAAGACATAATTATTTCAATGATATACCATGGAAAACAATATATAAGAAATAAAATATTAATACATGGTTCTGGATTTTCACAAAACAATTTTAAATTTAACTATTTTCTTGCTATTAAAATATTAATTTCTCAATTATTTTTAGCCATAATACACTTAAATCTTAATAAACTAAAACTCAGATAACTAGATTTTTCAGTAGACTAGGTGAAGCATTCATATTCTCCCTTCAAGAAAGATAAATGAAAGCAAAACCAGTATACATCAAGTGTTTGTCACTAGCGAAGTTCTGAGAAAATCTTGCGTGGAAAATGTACAGATGTCCGTCTTCCTACAGCCAGAATCACTAGCACTATGTACATAGATGGCTCCAAGGCATCAGCTGGCTTTTTGTCATTTAAAATCAAGGGAGAGACAGAGACCAGAGAAAGAGATTAATTCCTTTAACTTGAGAATCTTTCCTCTCATCCAAGTTAAAAAAAAAAAAAAAAAAGAAAACTGTAAGCAAAGACTGTTTATTGAGCAAATTTTAAGTTAGAAAACTAACTCATTGTACTTCCTTTTTCCAGACGTTTGTTTAATCAAAATTTTAATGTAATTTATATCAGATTTTGCTTTCAAAATATGCTATTGATTGCTACAATCTATTCTATATTAAATAAACCAGTATAGTTTTTTATTTTAATAGTAGTAATAGGTCTTAAGAAATTGAAAATTATTTTATCATCATACCTGTTGAATTTGCTTTAGTTTTCAGGGGTTGATGAATTTGCAAATCCTTTAAATGAATCAGAAATTCCTAAATTCTTTAACCGAGTCTCTTAAAAATCCACTGTAAGTCTGAGTCCAGACAGGGCTTTCCCTTGAATTACTGTAGCAATTTAAGCAAATATAATCTGCTTGGAAAACACTTGGGTTGAATTAAAATTATGCATTTCTTTTCATTATACAAAACTTTGTGGCCTCCAATTAAGATGCTTGGGGTCTTGGTCAGATTTATGTGGTTTACTTCTTTCTTTTTCCCCTTAATTTTGGTTTGAGGTGTAGCAAGAATTTCCTCTAATATGAAAGGCAAATAGAACTAAAGGAAACAGCATGTACTGATTACTGTTTTTATTTTCATATTCATGCCAAGGAATTCTTCAGACTAAGGTCTACTCTGACACAGAGCCCAGTGTCTAAACAATTTAAGGTGGAACTCAGAATTATGAATTCCATGGTTGTCTGACACCTATGTTCACATAAGTGCTTAACTTTCTTAAAACAAGGAATCGGGATTACAGACATACAGCAGTGTTTCAAGTCTAGTTTATTTTTAAATGCAACCAATTTTCATTGGTTACACAGATTAAATATATAATTTTTCTCTGCAAAGATGTGTGTAGTCTCTTCTATCAGCTGTTCCTTTTCTTACCTTGCTCCGAGATGTACCTGCTAGAATACCTTATAATAACCTTTGAAATAAAAATTAATCTCTTGGTTATGGAAGCCAGTACCTTGAACTTGAAGGTATATCTTCAGTTTACCTGTTTTTAGTAGTATACAAAATAACTTTTTAGTATTGGGTAAGATGGAATGAAAAGCTTCTGTTGCCCAATACCGTTGCTTTCATTTTGCAGATTTAGAAAATGTCCTCATTTCACTTAGCTGTCTCCTCTGAGTAATAACAGTGAACTGCTTAAATGCACGTTTTTATACTAATGTTTTCATAGTTTAAACATAATTAACAAGTCTCTTGGCAGTGGGCTTTGAGTTCATTTGGAGGGGATCTTTCAAGCTTGCACAAACTAATAAGGTAAACTGAATCCTGGAATTCATTTTTGTTTCTTCAACATAATGTTTTCTATTAAATTTTTCAAAGAACTCAAAAGATTTGTTTTGTTATCATTCAGATTTAAGAAAACTACAGTGTTTCAAGTGGTGATTTGGCACAATTGTGAGAATCTAGTCTCTTATTTGAGACATTGGTATGTAAACGTGGCAGACGGCTTTGAGCCAGGATTCCATCTGCTGCTGATCTTGCCCATGTGTTTCCTATTAGCGTCTTTGTTCTTCAACCTCAGGCTTCCACACTAAGAAAGTGCAAGTCTGTATACTTTTTCCAAAAATGGTTTTACATGCCTTCACAGTTCTTTTAGAAGATGCATTTTAAATCAACAGCTAAATTTTACACAATTCCTCATAACTGTGTGATTTGGATATATAGTAACAATTATTATGTTGTTCCATGTTCCTAACAAATTGTGAAAATTATGTATCAACAGATCACTAAACACACAGAATCAAAAATATCTAGAACATTTAGACCAGGTTGGCTGTGTCCTGGAGGTTTTCGTTGGCAGGAGTAGAATTAGGAGAGGGCCGGGGCTGGGGGGTCAGAGATAGACCTTAAAGGGAGAGGGAAAGCTGTTGGTGATAGTTTGTAACTGTTGTTTCAGTTAGGCAGTTATAGTGTAGCAATTGGAGAGAGGTCACTTACATTAGTGACAAATCTAAATTACGAACTATGATTATAATTTGACTGAAGTAGATACAGTATCTCAAAATCATGGGACATGCTGACTAGCGAAGGCTCTCCTGACATCTTCATTAGTGTCATATGTGTAACAATTTTTCATTCATTTGTTCAACTCATTTATTGAGCACTATATACAAAGCAGTTTCAGGTGGTGAGGACTCAGTGAAAGTTCCCATCACCATCGCGGTGGTGCAGTGTGGAGGAGGAGAGCAGAGTGAAGTAGGGGTAAACATGACTGCGGCACAAGTGCAGGAGGACAGTCATACAGTGCTGCACAGGTGACAGGAATGGAACAGAGCAGTGACTGGGTGGCTATGGTGGGAGCAGGTGTCACACTGCCAGAACAGGGACTGTAGACATGCTAGGGCTGTGGTCACAGTGACCCCTGTGAAAAGGGGGAGTTGGAGACATCAGCATGACCCATGTTTAGCTGAGTACAGACACAGAGGGTGAAATAGATGCTTCTGTATAATGCACACACCCACCGTTAGCACACGATGCACACCTTGTTCTCCCAGCCGAGAAGCCTAGAAGTGAGAGGACACTCCCACGCCAGCAAGCACAGCCAGCGCCCAGATCTCAGTTTCTAACCCCATTCTTCAGTAAAATGAACCGGGGCTGCTAGTTTCTTTGGAGAAACGACTGATTCCAGGAGGCCTGGGAAAGGAAAGTGGTCAGGCCTAGGATGTCTTAGCAGAGAAGGTCACTGGGAAGTCTGTCAATTTCTATGAAGCAAAAATGGCTTTAAAAATAGTCTGTTAATTAAACTAAGTGAGGGTCACATACTAGTTCAAATAGTTACACCTGAATATTATGAGAGAGCAAGGAGCCACACTGTACTGGAAGGGCGGAATACCAGCATGGCTGGGGCTGAGCAATCCAGGAGGGGTGGAGGAGGCACTCACACAGGGGCAGCGCCCAGTGCTAGCACCGAGCCAGGTGTGTCTTTGGAAGTACCCGCCTCCCAGCATTCTAATAGATCCTATTTTTCAGGCAAATGTATAAATATTATCAGAATAAATATCACTCAGATGAATGAATGAATGCACAGTACCTCACAACACACATCCTCTTTGCCATTTCCTAAATATTTTTCTAATTTCCTACCTGCTAGAAGAAAGATATCCCCAGAGAATTGCCCCTGTACAACCCAGGGTTAAAGCTCTTGCTGTCTACCGCCTGACCTTACCCGTCAGCGAATCAGTGACTCGTATGCCCTGCACATAGAACACACTCTCGTTAGGATAAAAACATTGAGGAAAAAGACCATGATTGGCAAAAGTCTACAGAAGAGAGAGAAGGGAAAGAAGAAATGAGTAATTCTTGTCCTTAACTCAGCATCCCCATCTCCTGAATATAGCGTTGCCGTTTTCTTATAGATTCTTCCACAGGTACTTTATGCATAGAGAATACATATATAATTATATGGTGCATATTTTATATAATATATATTTATAATCTAAAATAATTTTGCGTGAAACTTGAGATGTTTCTAGTCTTTTCCTAATGTAAATAATGAAATTTATTACTTTCTAGTTTTGAGTTTATTTACTTCCTCCATGAGTGAGAGAGACAGAGACAAAGACAGATGTAACTTTGTCCATAAAAGTCTTACTTCCATCCAGGAAATCCTCCTCAGTGTTGTAGATTGAGTTTTCATCTTTGATAAATTAGAAGTCAAGGGATATAGGAAAATTAAAGCTACACTTTTTTTTTTAAGCCTACACTGTGTGCATCCTTTGCATGTGTTTGGTCAGTCCATGGTAGACGCGGTTCTGGGATCAGACTCTTAGGGCAGTGTCTGTAATCATCTTATAGGAGTCAATTTTTCAGGGGACCAGCAGTTAGCGTAATGGCTATGTCGCTGGACTCCCACATAGTTGACTGCAGTTCGCCTCCCGGACCCGGTGGCTTAAACTCCCGCCAGGCACGTGTGCATGCGTGCCCAAGATCCCGAGAGGAGAATGGAGGAGAAGGGATTGCGGTGTGGCCATCCCCCCTGGGGGGTGATTTCTCGCTTTCTATCTCTCTGTCTCTGTCTGTCTGGCGAGCGCACGTGCCCTATAGCAAAAACCTCTCCCCAAAAAAAGTCTAATTTTATGACCTCATTCTCTATCTTCTTCCATTTATCAGCCTTCAAGGTTCAAAATGGTAAAAATACTATATGATCATTTTTATTCAATGTTTTATGTTATACGTTTTTAAGTTTTGCCAGAGAATATATGTGTTCACCAGAGGGAGAAATGGGAGGGGGAAGGCTAGAAAGCCTTCCATTGAGAATGGTCAGGCCTCAGGCCCCTTCTCCCCCATTTCTCCCTGCTTTTGAGATCTTGGCTGCACATGCACTTGACATGGTTTTTGAGCTACCATGACCATGGTTCAAACTACACAGCCAGTCATATGGGATTGAGTGGTCCTAACCACTATGCCACTGGCTAACCTAAAATGTTTAATTTCTGTTGTTGTTCTATTATTAGTTTTTAATTTGCCAGAGGGGCAAGTGTGCTCACCAGGTAGGGACAGGGAGAAAGTGAGAAAACACCTCCGGGGTTGGCGGGGGGG